GCCTGTAAGCACCACCGAGGGAGGATCGAACCCACAACCTCTCGCATGAGAGTCAACAACCTTCACTAAGATACCACAGTGCTCCCGTAAAGTTATTCAAATAAGACAAAAGTCTCAATAATAATTGTTTGATTGGACGGTTTGGTTTATTGCAAATATTACCCTCATCATAATGTTAACTTCCTGTTCACGATTTAACTTGATTCCATCAGCCTACGTGATTCCCGATGTTCTTGGATAAATTTCAGACTAAGTAAACTGATGTTTATCTAAAACATGGTTTCTGCAATCATCCATTATAACCAAATTATTTTCGCGCTATTTCTGCACCCTTAATTTTGTTTACAAGAAAGAGAAGAACAAACCGAGTTCCCATATTATTTTCATGGTAAGGCACACTTCACCCTTTACCTAGGGGGCAAAACGATATATGGGAAGTTGTTAACAAATCGTTTGGTATCAACGTGTTTAGGTGACCTCGATGCACAATAATATTTGTAGATGGACTACCTTGGAAATATGCTGCTGAAAAAAACATTTGCCGCCATTATTCAAAACTGTTGAACTATTTTTTAACTAATTTTTTAACAGAACCTCTTTTTACCACGTGGGAGTTGTCTTATGAGAGATAATTAAATTTCCTTCGAGGTGACATCCAATTCAATAGCTTTAGGGATAATTTGCATAATCATTTTGAGCTAAACATGTGATTTTTTTTTAACAATTTGTCCAAAAATATGAATTGCCTCGAAATACCTATTTCTCCATATTCAAAGAATTATAATTTATCCTAACATCAGCTAAACTACTTCTGTATTTAGCGTATAAACTTAGATGAAGTCGTAATAATAAACATGGATGCAACAATTCTCCTCTCAAGGCAATAATGTTAAGACTTTCTGACATTTTCTAGGTACCCAGACTCAGAGCTAAATTAACATTTCTTGTCCAAATATCTAGATAAATGAAATATCCATCAAATTGACATAAATCAACATATCATTCGCTATCAACACGTTTTGATGTGCCTAAATTATACATGCAGTTTGACCTGGAGCTGACCTACATAGTTTAGTATTTATGGCAGTTTATCATTTCGTTTTTGAAAATAACAACTGTTATATATATTTGCATATTTATGATTCATTGTCAGCAAAATACTTATTGTAATTTATATTATTGTTCTGTTTAAATTCTGTTTGTATGCTTTCAAAATTCTCAATCATTTGGCACCTGAATATCTTATTGACAACCTCCAAATATATACACCAAATCGTAATTTTCGATCAACAACCGACACATGTAAACTTATCATATCTAAATCTAGACTCTTAGCAGCTGAAAAAAACGTTTTGCACTTACATGAACGCAAAAGAAAACCAAATCAAATCAAATCAAATGGTGTGACCATGTCATTCACCTAGACATACATACAGCTTCACTCTTCAATAAACAAAACCTGCATCTTCTGTATTCATTTAAATCATGATTTTCAACAATTATAAGTCTATCTCTTGTACATGACAATTTCATATACATTTGTTATCTTCTTCAAATGTTATGGCATATAAAACAGGTTATCCTTTAACTTGACCTTATTTTACAAAGGCTTAGCTATGTCCTATACATGTTATGGATCCATTGTCATGTAATCTACACTCGCTGCACGAAGATTCAAATCGAACCTATTAATGTGCACCTCTAGTATACAAATAATACACAGCAGTGAGGGCATTAGTAAGAATTACCCACACAAGGTACCTTTGGGAGGGTGTCTAACACGCCCGAGGCGATAGCCGAGGGCGTGTTAGATTTTTTCAAAGGTACCGAGTGTGGGTAATTATACTAATGCCCGAACAAAATGATGTGTATTATTTGTTTTATAAAATTATAACGTGGATCCTTGTTATTTGATCAATCGCCCTCATCTCAAACTCAAAGGTCCGAATTCACAAAGGAGGTTTAAATCTAACCCATGGTTTAAATTCTCATTTACATAACCCATTATTCAAAATAAGCGCAAATTGAGGCGTACCTTGCCTTGCGCGCGTCTAATATTTAACCTCTGACTTGTGTCGCGCTTATTTTGCGCTAATTTTAGCTAGATGTGGTAATGACCGGTCATTACCACTGGGTAATGACCGGTCATTACCCAAATTTTTTATTTATTTATTTATTTATTTCTGATCTTTTGACAGGGTAGCCCATTCACCAGCAAGTAGTGGTCTTCCATGGGGCCCTGAATGAACATATTTACATCGTTTATAACATTTATACAGAACAGTTACAAAAATAATACTCGTTTGCAAAATTAACATATATCATTAACTTAGTAAGCAGTAATGTCAATAGGAAAATATTAATTAAGTCGCAATTATGTGAATAAGACATGTAAATATTACAGAACATGCACGTAGTGTATGTACGGCTGAGCTATTCACAAATTACAACTTTGTTTAAACAATCTCTTAAATGAATTGACAGAGGAAGCCGTTCTCAACGAATTATCTAGCTTATTCCATTCAAATATGGAAGAAACAATTGGGCTACACTTATAACAATCAGTGTGAAATCTAGGCACACGTAAACATCCACTGTCTATTTGCCTTGTATGATGCTCATGTACATCATTAGGATTGATTAAGCCTACCTGAAGGTAAGAGGGTGCTAAGTTATGAACGCATTTATATATCATCATAACGCGACTTAACTCAAACCGCTTGTCTAGTGTCATCCATTTAAGACTTGTGAACAAATCAGCCGACGGTGTGTCATATGTCTTGTTCAATATTATTCTTGCGGCCCTCTTTTGAATTTTTTGCAGCTTAGTTGTATGAGAATGAAATCGGTTCGACCATACAACAGAGCAGTAATCTAATCGTGGCAACACTAGACTGTTATAAAGTAACTTTAAGGATTTTTGAGGCAAAAAATTCTTTGCTCTCTTTATCATGCTAATGTTTTTCTGGGTAAGTTTACTTACGTTTTCGATTTGTTTAGACCATTTCAATTCTTCATCTATCAAAAGTCCTAGGCATTTGGTGAATTGAACTCTTTTGATCAAATTGCCGTTTAATGAAATGGTGAAAGATTCAATTTTCTTGAGATTAGCAGGAGAGCCTATTAACATGACACAAGTTTTTTCAGTGTTACGCGTTAGGCAAAATAAATGCCTGGTCACGTGTACGCTTTCAACCAATCATTTGATTAGGATCTACGTCATCATCTTATAACATACAATGTTTCATGAAATACACCATTCATGTTATAAACTAGCCTCTTTGCCCCATTTATTCACTAAAATGAAATACCAGGTTTCAAGGATGTCCTGGAATTTAGGCAATTCTTTCCTCAAAACCAGACCCATGTATTCATTGTTTAACTGTAGGATGAGTTGGGCACAAGGTGGCGCTATTTCAATACAGGCCCAGGGGGGTGCAACTCCGCTTCTGCATCCGTCTAGCCATGGGGAGATTTTGGAGGGTCAAAAGTGCACACTGCTTCCACTTATCGTGTATTAGCCTACGAAGACGACAAATTTTTAGTGCACCAGCGAAATGGGGATTTTGGACTGCGCGCAGCGCGCAAAATATTTAAATTAAAATTTTGAATATTCATGAGCTCTTTTCCACTTATTAGCATATTATCGCAATGAAAAAAAGACAATGCGCATGCGTTACTATATCGACAGAATCCTAATTGGGCCGGATAAATGTAGAACAAAGGTCAGAGTTAAGGAGGTGTGTGGGGAGGGGGGGGGGGGGGAGACTTTTAAATGGTTGACTTAGTTGGGGCCACAAACTTCACTGTCACCAGGATGGAAAGTACATTTTTTAAAATTCAGTTCAGTTAAAAGGCAAAAATAATGACCCCATTTCACTCAATTCATTTTTTACCTCTTTTTTTTCTTTCGTTTATTAACTTAAATTTTTTTTAAATAAGACAAATTGCACTGATCATTTAGCCCACTTAACAAGTGATATTTTCATATTTTTAGTGTCCAATTAATGAATCATTCTCACCTCGACTTCAATGATCTTCATATTGTGCCCCATCCCCAATGAAATTTCAATTTTGTCTCGTTCTTTTCATTCTTGCATTCGTCGCCACTGATTTTTTTTTAATCCCCCCCCCCCCCCCCCCCCCAACAGTAACATTTTCAATACAGGGACCCCTTCTAATAGTGACATTTCCATAGGCTCTATTACCCCAATTACCTATGCTTTCATCATTTCGGCGCATCGACTTATTCTTTATTTAACCCCCCCCCCCCTCATCTTTATTGTAAACCATTTTTTATACTGCATTTATACATTAGTCTTGCCCACTCTCTTGTTACATTTCCGCTTTCTCTCTCATTAGGAAAGATGGTTAAATCTATCTCGCTGATGCCAGATATAAACAAACATCAAAAGGTCGAACACCATACTCAATTCTACACAAGACTGCATCAGCCCCCATCTCACCTCAGTCATACAGCATTATCATTATTATTATTATTATTACAGAGTGCCTACATCATCATAATCACCAGCATCATCACATATATTTCACAAAATAAGAAAATGAAAAGAACAGAATTCAGCAGTATTAACTAATTTATTAACATTTATGAACTCATTTATCAACATATTTTGTTTCTATAAAGTCTTTTTAAATCCAACATGACATCAACAAAACGATGACAAATGGATGGGGGGGGGTGCTGTCTCTTGAATTCAAATCTTTCAGTTGTAAAAATTTACTGTAGATTTTGAAGAAAAAAATATTCAATAATATCGACATGCTATTTTATTATGTAAAGCACAGGTATATACTGAGTTTTATGAGTACTTTATCTTACATCGGACATTATTGTTGTTGTTTTACTACTACCTGTATTATCATTATTATTACTGCTATTATCATGATCATTGTCATTATTGTTACTATTTTTAATATTGTTATTATTATTTTAATTATATTAATACAGTCTTACTATTGAACTACATCATTTACCCCCCCCCCCCCCCCTTCAATTTACTATCCAGTTCAGCATCCCTCATATTTTTGTCAGAACTTGACTTAAGATTAAATATCAAAAAACTATGTTACATGTACACGCATTTAAAAGAACAAATGATTACTTTCATGATCCTCGATATATCTTCTTCTTCTTCTTCTGGTAATCTTCAAAAGGCGTTGTAGCCTATCACGAAGATGAACTAATACTAAAGATTACAAGTGGTGTGAGGAAGACAGATTGTTTCTAAGTGGGATAAGGAGAGTAGATGCCTCAGACTATCTTGTGCACCATTCTCAGTCTTCTTGCAGAGTGCCTTGTAGTTGTAGATATAGTAGGCAACTAAAAGGTGCTGATCATCTCAGTCAAACTGCTGCTTCTCTTGTGGTCCCCATTGTGAAGTAGCGTCCTGGACATCTGAGATGTTGTAGGGATCCCAGACACCGGAACAGTTCTCAAGATGAGGGTGGACTAGGGACTTGTACAAAAGAAGCCTGGATATCAAACCCTCTACATGGGACAACCTGAATAATAAAAACAAAAAGAGAGGAGAAATCAAATAAGATTAAAACTGCTGCATTATATTGGATTTTCAAAAATAGTACCTCCCCACTTTTTTTAGGTCTTGCATTTTAATTTTACTAAAAATGATAAACTTATGTCTATCTGAGTGATAGGGCCTTTTTTTAAGAGAAGAGTAAAGGTTTAGATGTATTTCCAATTATTTTAAAAGTAAATTCCAATTTATTTTAAGTTATTATTTGCTAGACTTTTGTGAACAAAAGTTTGTTAGATATAATTGTAATATTTAGGAAAAAATGCCTTTGAGAGAATAAACTGTAGCAACACCATAGTTTGTCACCTAAATAAAGCTAAAGAATAAATGAGAATTACAAGATATAATGCAACACAAGATGACAGTTCCCCAAATCTTTGTATATAGTCCAAGTCGAGTGCGGTGTTCGCATGGGCTTAGATTATACAGCCTGAATATTTTCGAACTTCATACAAACATACCTTGCCAGAGTTCAACTTGGGTGTCTTGTTCCTGATTAGATCTACACCATAACATTTGATGATCAGGTCCTGGTGCTCTTTGTTGCACTTCTGTGATCATTATCTGCTTCTTTGTTCCATAGGATCTACAATTAAAAGAAAACAGAAACTTAGTAAGGTTCCTGCTTATATCAAATGCATGCATTAGTTATCAGTTTATAACTTTGTTCATGTCCTTTAGAGAAAGAAATATCAATGTCATATGTAGGGTTGGATCCAGAATTCTCACCAACATAAAAGGGGTGGCATAAAATCCTGAAAATAAACCAATTATTTCAAACAAGGCACAATGACATAACTAAGAGCGAAATCAGGGGAAGCGAGAGGGGGGGGGGGGGGGAGGTGATACCTTGTTTGTTTTGTTCTTGTTGTTGTTGGTAGATCTAGCCTAGATCTACATTCAAACTAAGCTGAATCTGGACCTGGATCACAATAATGACACATGTGCACGACTAGTCTAGTAGTGGAGCAAAACGAGCCTAGACCCATGGCTATGGAAGTCTTTGCTAGGCTATGGCATAACACAAGCTATAGATCTAGATCTAGACTTTTGCCTATTTTTAATATTATTAGTAGACCCTACTAGGGGGCTTTAGCCTTTAGACCTAGATCTAGACCCGTGAATAAGGGGGCACAGAATGATGGTGCACCCCCCCCCCTCCATAACTTCCACATTGACCCACCTAAACCAGGCATTTATTGAGTCTTTTTTTTTTATTAGAATGCATTAGGCCTAGGCCTAGGCCTAGAATCTAGCCCTAGATCAAGGCCTATACTAGATGCGGGGTTAAATGCTGTTTATACTTGGTTAAGTGCTAGATCTAGACTAGACGGTAGACCTAGCCTAGCCTAGGCTCTGCTCAGCCTTAGCCCGAATTTTTCTGTCTCTTTCGTTCGTTAGCCTCTGATTTGGGTAGGGTCGGCTAAAGAGAGGAGCCGACCCTACCCAAATCAGAGGCTAACGAACGAAAGAGACAGAAAATTCAGGCTAGACTAGATCTATGCTATGTATACTAGCCTAGAGGTCTAACGTACTTAGATCTAGGCTTTACAGTAACACACTGTAAAGTTATAGCCACGCCAGCTCAGGAAACGCAGTCGCTTCTTGGTGGAGTGCTACAGCCGGCTAGCACCGGCGAATTGAAAATCATAAACCGCTCGACGAGATCTCGTCGGCTTGGACTAGCAATGAGCCATTTGCGCAGTCTACAACAGGTCCACATCTACGACCGATTACTATCGGTAATCAAGCTATGAACTGAACTTAAAATTATGAGATGTGTTCTAATGAAAATAACCTACGGTAAAATCCTGATTGTTTCTAAAAATATTACCGTCGATGACTTATATTAGAGTTCATTCAATCAGTTAATATTCTTTGGTCAGAAGAAAGAAAAGAGGATGGGGTAGGGGGTTAACCGGGTAATACGTTGTGACAATGCGGAGAGCCCCTCACTGCAATGACGAACACATCACAATCATTTCAGAGACCTTCACACAAAATGGATCTTTACTTACTTTTCTTGATATCATAGGGTATCACTTCGATTTCAATGTTCGCCTGAAGATTTTCTGCTTCACTGAGATGTACTTGACAAACTTCTATTATAATAGAAATTCACTTAAAAGAAAAATGTTTCATTGTTCGTAATTGAATAACTTGAAAGTTGCAGTTCATACAACCGCCATTTTCGTGCTCAAATCGTAGGGAATTCTGGGAATGCAAAAAATGTTTTATGCATGACCTAATACATAAAACATTTTGTCGATGGCCAATCAACAAACAGTAGTTGGCGTATTTTTTACGTCATTGCTCATGAATATTCATTGACCCTCCAAAACCGTCGTTCAAATCGGACAAAACCCCCATAATGCATCCAATGCAAAACCTATGGAATGTCAAAGGTCACGATTTTAGTTGGCCCTCTAGTCCTCCTACGGAGGACATACTGTGTATGATCGAATCTCTTTGTACAGGCCTTGAGGACCTTGAGTGCTGTTGCATGTACAATGTTGAGCAACATACATAATAGAATCAATATGTCAAAGGTGCACAAATTTGTGTGTTTATCTAGAGAAAACATCTTTTAAACTTCATGATAAGAATGACAGAATGATATGGGATGAATCACCAATATTTAACATCATTATTTTGAAAGGAGAAAAGGTACATCTTTCAATCAACTTTCAGTACACTACCCCTCCCTCCTTTGAAATGGCCTCCCCCCCCCCCCCCCCACCCATTAAAATCAGGACCCAGGTGATAGTCATGGCTTTCAATCTGAATTATGAAGATAATGGATGTTGGAGTTTAGAATTCGCACCTAACTTCCTTCTGTGACCCCCCCCCCCCCCCCAAGTACATTACAATCGATATTTCTTCCTCCAAGGACTTTTGTATATAATATCAATCATATTAGTAGACATTTTTTTCAAAAATGTCAAAGTTTTTTGGCTTATACAATTAGATTTCTTTCAAAATTGAGGGAGGACATGTGAAATGATTCAAATGATTTTATTTCTCATGCAAAACATAATACAAGAATAATTATATCACATTGCGAGACAAACGAATATCACTAGCGATATTATTTTCGATACTACATCCGCAATGAGTAATATATTTAGCATAATTATATCAACAACAAAAAATTGCAATGAAACGACAAATATAATGGAAAAAAACACGAGAAAAGAGGAACTAACTTGAAGCAGAGCTTGTTGAAGTGTCAGTTCCTCAGATGCTGTTTGACAATATAACATGAACAAAGTATGCTTAGAAATCAACACATAGACAAATATGAAGGTAAGAAATTCTATAATTTTTTTTTTTTTTTTGGGGGGGGGGGAATAAAAAAAAAAAAAAAGGGAAAATGGAGGAAAATAGTAGAAGGCAAAAAGAAAAAAATATACACAAAAGTGGAAAAAAAATGATTGCAAAAGCTCTGGAAAAGGGAAATAAGATCAGAGGGAGAAAAAGATTGAGAAAGAGATTGAGTCGAGAGTCGAACACACCGAGATTAGATCATGTATATGTGTTTAAAAGTTTAATCTTTATCTTTGTTTAAATGTGTATAGACTGGTACTTTGATTAAAATACTGCAAGCAGGGGCGTCAAGCCGGGAAATTGCAGAAAGAAAGAAAAAAAAAACATGTATCACGAAGGGAATAATGAGTTAAGGCTAAAGCACACTATCTATGTCCTAAAATGCTCATTGGTGCAAAAGTTTTTTCTCGGTTGCTATGCTTCCTAGTAGAATGTACATTACCTTTTACATAAAGAAGATATGTAAACCATAAAAATGATATAATCCGTGAGGAGTTGTTTCCTGAAATTAAAAGGGGAAAAATTAAAATGCTAAATAGGTGCCGCCAACCCTCATAGGGGATAAGATCATTTGTAAATATAAAGCTAAGAACTCAAATTGCTTGAGTGATCAAATATTCTCTTATTTGCAGATCTCAAATTACTGCGACTTCCAGAAATAAGATATACATGTAATTCATCGAAAGGCGACGCTATAAATACAAAGCACCCCCTGTCTCAATCCCACATAGTAATACCCGAGTCGTATGCACTGTGTCATTGTCCCACTATCACATGATGAATAAATATCCAGGGATGATGGCGGGGAGGGGAAGGAGTTGAGTTTGAAAAGACAGGTTAAAAACATTTTAAAAAATGGTCTTTTACAGTGTTTAAACTACATTTCAGTGTTTTAAGTAAGCACTGGAAAGCCCTCGAATTATAGTTCAAGTTCAAGCTCACTTTATTCATTACTTTCATTAAAAATATACAAGGAAAACAAACATATAAAAGTTAGAATATAATACATGTATCAATATATAACATGAGGATAACACAAGTGGAGAAGATATGATGGACAAGGAAAAAACATTTTAAACATGTACATTAATGAAAGTATTTGGAGAGTAGACAGAGTAGACATAAGGCCGGGCCTTATATAAAAGTCTGTCTCCAGTAATTGTATAAAAAACTAAGTACATTATTTAAATTTTGTATTTGTTATAAAAAGGAAGAAAAAAAAAAAGGAAAAGAATTTGCATTCACACATACACTCTCTCCCATACACACCAACACACACTTTTCTGTCTGATGAACATTAAGAGAATATAGGTTATTGCACTATTGAGTATTGTCTTAACAAGTACAGTTTAAATTTTCTTTTACAATTATTTAGTGATGGACTCAGTCGAATATCTATGGGTATGTCATTCTAAATTTTTGGACCCCTGGAAAAAATTGTATTTTGGGAAACTAGTGTCCTTACTCCTGGAATATGAAAATTATTTGAAATCCTGGTCTGGTGGCCATGACTATTCTTATTAGGTTGAAAATATTGTAAAATAGTATTTGGTAAAAGTTTTTTAAAGCATAAATACATAACAATTGCACATTGATAAACATAAATATCGTTTACTTAAAAAAAAATTAGGTTGTAAAAAAGAGGTATAGTATGAGCAAGGTATTGGCTGTGCGATATAATTCTTATAATTTTCTTTTGTAAAATTAAAAGCCCATTTGTATTTTGCATACTAGAGCATGCCCATACAAGAATACAATAATTTAAGTGGGGTAATATTAATGTATTATACAATGTACATGTCAGAAAATAGCCTGTAATGTTAACATTATGTGAGAGAAAAAAGGTTTTAAAAAAGGGGACATCCACCCTGATTTGATTGGTTTCAATAAAAACGGAAAATTAGAGAAAAGGTTCAATAAAGGTTTGAGCAGAATCTGATAAATAAAGTGTCACCAATTTGCTTCTTACCATTATGAGATCCTCTTCTATTTGGTACGTATTACATATTTTCTGACATGTACATTATTTGTTTTCCCTCGTTTCTTACGTGCAATGATTATATCTAAGGTGCATGTATGATTGAAACCCTCTTTAGAAGTGAATGTTTATTAACATTAGCAAATGAGAGGGGACCTCACAAGATCAATCTTTTACCGGAAACGTGCTACACGTCTCTGCTTTCAAGACAAGACGTCTATCTCTGCTCGAATCTCTCTATTAGTCTAGCAACATCAGGCCCGACTTCCCCTTTGAGTTTAAGATACTTCTTCCCTATGAAACTAGTATTTGCTGCTGTTGTTGTAATTATATATATTTCACTAGATTCTAATGAGTTTAATTATTTTAAAAGCACATCTTGATCTATATAATTATTATTATATTAAAAATAATTGTTTCGTATTACATTATCAGATTTGTTTGTTTTAATCCCAGTGGCATGAACGGAATGAAAATGACGACGTGTTTCGGAAAACCCCACCCAGTTCTCCAGCTTCTCCTCATTCTTTGGATGATATCCCTCATCCACATTGCAGTTGGGGGTAAGTAGCATTGAATATATGTATACCGGTTACGATTTTATCATTTTATCAATGTTCATACATGTAGGCCTAGATTTTGGGGGATATTTAAATGTTCATCTATCATGATTGTATGTGGACTTGTCCAAGGTAAATAAGGAATTTGTAGACACTTTCAAAGGGCCCCTCTCACCCAACTTACTTAGCCTTTTAAAACATGAATGCACCTCTACTTATTTTCCAGCCTAAGATTTTTCAGAAGATCTCTATATTGACCTAAAAATAACCATCCATTTTAAACTGATCTCACGCTTGCTAAGCTCCACCCCTCGAAAAAAAAAGGTAAATACGGTCACGTGGTTTGATGTAGCTAGATATTGCCTGATTTTCAATTACAAGAAGTATTGGATTACCTGCTCTTGTCCCTGGATTTGCTTTAGTTTTTACATCTAGCTAAACCATGGTGAGAAAGTCTCTCTAGATTACGAAAGTATTATGATAAGAGAAAATGACTTCTATTCAATTTGCTATTTGCAAGTTATGGTTATTTGTGATACCTCATGAGCTAATCAAAGTAATTATTGCAAGCCACTTGTGTTTCTTCAATGAGAAAAGCTGGCAGCTGCATCTTTCTACTCATATATGTTTGCACAATGTTGATTTTATTTGTGTGTGTTTGTCATAGAACATTGTAATTTTAGGCAACACTAACAATCAAGAAACACTTGTTTCCAGACAATTGTTTAGCCTTTGTTAAAACACTGCAAATTTGTCTTTACAATTTAAAGGTACCAACTATGTGCAGAAGGTCAAATCTGTATTGCATTAAGAGTTGCTAATTCAATCAAACACGAGTTGATTTAAACAAAACTATATTCAAGCATTTGACACTTGCGTTTGATTTTTTTTTTAGATGTGATTAATCGCATTTCTTCATGCGACATGGCCCATATATACTTATTTATTGTCTATTTGAGGGATTTAATTCTATTTTAACAATGAGTAACTTTATTTATTCAGTTGATGTTTTAGTTGGATAATGACATTTGTTTCTGAGTTTATGGGTATATACTTAGTCCAGCATTGCCCAGAGGTCACTGTTGGTCAACTGTTGAACCTTGAATTTTAAACAATGCATAATGTACAGCTTGCCATTCCTAAGAAGAAAAGGGTATCATTTGCTGAATGTTTTTAATTTTTCTGTTATGTTAGCATCAAGGTTTCATTACATGTTAGCCTTTTAGCATAGTGGATAGTGCAGGTGCCCGGCTGAATAAGTAATCTAGTCAAATCTGATCAGTTCTGATCATA